ATAATATAAATAGATTATCTAAAGAATAAAAATAGGCTATTTTAATATATAGTACATTAAGATAAATAAAATAGTAATAAATAGACTAATAAAAGGACTAATATATTAGTTATATAGCTAATTTATTTAATAGCTTAATCTATAAGTACTACTAATATAGAAAATACTAAGAAAATAAGAGAAAGGGTAATTATTATCTTATAAATAGCTTTACTTATAGTGCTATTATGGCCTGGCTAAGGGGTAGTATTAAAGGTGCCTAAGGCACCTACCTTATATATTAGCCGGACCTCCTAGCCCAAGACCTTAGTTAGCCACAGTCAATATATACACATCCCTCTCAACACGGTGTACCCTAGATTACTGCGGGCGGCTAATGGCAACCCCATTCACGTGAGCATTTTATAAGTTATCTGGAATCTTTGTTCCGTAAGAATTTAAAACCCAGCTTCCATATTCTGCAGTCCACGGCGTATCGAAATATCGCGTTGAGATGTCATAAGCTTTAACTATCAATCAATCAACTACTACGCATCGATCCTCATCACACCTTGGGAACACACACGGATTCCTAGCCAGATGGATCAGCCGTACGAGCTACACGGAAGGCGTAATGAAGGCTGGGGTACCCAAATCTCTGACTATAAGATCAGAGCGGCTTCACGTCAAACGGTGGCATACAGTAGTCGAGGCAGGACGACAAACGACAAGACGAAGCGCAAACAGTATCTAGCAAAGAGTCTCGACGAATATGCCCGCTTTGAAGAGCTCGTTGAAGCTGATATCTCAGACTCTGAAGATGACGACGACGACTTAGATGACGACGACGACGAGCCAGGTGAAGACCCGGAGAACGGGAGCAGCAACCGGACATTCACGTCGGAACTCGCCCAAGACTTGATCGATGATATAATGCAAGCTTGTGGACCTGTTCCAACGCTTGATTCTAGTATGAAGAAATACAATCTGATTTGATATCACAATCCCCTCTAACTGATGCAGTTGACAGTTCGCACCAGAGAAGAATTCGCCAGCATGACGAATGGTACATGAGTGTACTGGATAGCCTCTTTCACGAGCTATCCAATTATCCACCACAAGCAATCGACTCGTCTCCGTTTGGCGACAGCGTCTATTTCTGGATGCTAGCAAACTACAACGAGAGTAGCCGAAAGGCCCTCTTATCGCTCCTCCTACATCCACATGTGCGGTCATTTCGCGTTCGGTCCGCGATAGGAGGAAACGACTGGAGTGACCTGAACACTAGACTGGAATCGTTCTCCCTTGCAAAAGACATGTCAAAGATACCTTCCGTCGTTGGGACATACTTTCTCCATGGGCAGCATCGCTCAGGAGGTCTCCTTTCTAGGGACATGGGTTATGTTGGGCAAGCTCGATCACTCAAAGATCCGTCAAAGGCGCATATTGGCTTCAGGCGACGTGCTGCTGCTCACTGGGTTCGCATTCAGGATATTAAAGAGACCCGGACAAGAGCTGGCCCGCTAAAAGAGAGTATTAGATCTCACTACTTTCTTTGGGCCCATCGTCGAATCTCTCATGAAGATATTGAACATGTATCGATGGCTCTGTTGACAGTAATGCCATTTCCCAGGTCGCATATGCACCGCTCGTCTCTTCACCTACCATTTCTCCTTACCTTAGCTGAAACGATAGACATGATATTGCTCGGCACAACATCCAATATTATGTCTGATCATTCCAAGATGGAGTTTGGTTGGTTGTTCGGTCATAAATGTAGACCGAGTCACTTGCCAGCATCGCCATTCGAAGGACTCAACCGCGCCCTTCCTGTCAAACAGTCACATCGAAACTTCGGAGCATTGATGTCAAGTGTCAACTGGACCCCGAATGAGGCGGCCACATTCTTGGATGTTATTGAAAGGAATTACAGGACGATTTACCGTTCGCACCCAAAACGCATTGACTGGGAACATCTCCTTTGCCTACTTGAGAAACAAGGAATCCGAAAAACGAAGAGACAAGCCTACAGCCTGTATAAAAGTCTCAGTTTACATCCAGATTCGGGGCTACTGACACTCAGATGGGCTACCTGGCGACGACGCTGGGAGGTAATTACTGCTTTGAAGAAGTTCCTCACGGAAAAGGACCTCATCAGTCACCCGGTTAGCGACGATGATATTTACTACCATATCCCAAAGCTTGAAGGCAAAATCATCGAGAGACATACTCTCCGCATATTCCTCGAGACTGAAGGGTTCCTCTCTGACTGGTCGAGCGTTGACTCATATACGATTTGTTCACTCCTCCCCTCCCTTCTTCATAAAACAGTATGGGAAAAGATCAATGGTAAGCAATAAGGTACAAGATACACTGGCACCCCGCAAAGACTAAGACAAAGATCAGACAAACCACCAGATGTAGTGAAGATAGAATATCAGCGGGTATCAAGATACCTTGCAGCACGAGCGAGAGAAGTGGTTTTATATTACGCTCAATGGGGCTCAGGAGTCCGAAGAGCGCGCCATAATATGACCTGGACTTGGACCGAACTTCTTCGAATATGGCATCAGGCTCGAGCTCAACTGCTGTCAGATGGCGTACCTGTAACCCGGCTTCCAATCAGAGGACCTATTAGCATCGTATCCACCTGGGTGGAGTACCACGACACCATCGGTGACGCAAACATTCTCTCCACTTGGGCCTATGATGCATGGAAGGATACTGGCAAAAGACTCGAGGCCCCCGACAGAATTCAGATAGACCCGAGGCTTTTCGACTCTTTTAAAGAAAGATTGAATGCCAATAACGAAGTTGTGATAGGAAACAACGACGGTATGACATCAGAGCAACTTTGGCCATCTGACGTGCCTCGACTCAAGCAACTCGAGGTCTCTTGGTGTGGATCCCTCGCCCTGAAGTCGAAGTCATCCACTGAAACCAATTCTGGGCTCCGTATCAAACTACTTTTTGCCGCGCCACTGGCTTTTGGTGGAAGCGTGTCAACATTCAGAGTCTTAGTCCATCTTATGCAGGATATTCACAAACGTGCTTTCGATGAGTCAACGGATTCGAGTTCCCTGGACCTGACAGACAACCAGTTTTGGGAGTGTCTTTATGTTGGAGGTCTTGGACCTATATGGGGCTTCAAAAGCGTCGAAGAAGTAAAGCATCGATTTTCTTGGGTCCTGAGGTCCATCAGAACAGGCTACCTACCGACAGAAGCAGCAAAAATACGAGGAATACTTCTGGAAGTACTTTCGGGATCTCTACTGAAGTCAGGAGTGCACCCATACACTTACACTGGCGGGATTGATTCGACTAAATACCTGAATCCTGACTTATCACCTGAATGGGTCGAAGGGCTTCTCGAATCCCTCGGTGTTCTGCCAAGCGTACAGAAGAAGCTCGAACATGAAGGCCTGGACATGCGGTGTCAATGGGTATGCTCTTCTTATGGTATTTTGATTACTTATATATGGGAGGAAGCTGGATGTGATTATGGCCGGGGTATTGCTGATCCTCAGGTCAGTGATAGAGTTGCTGTTCAAAAGCACAAAAGCCAAAGCAGCTCACTGGTGTCCAACAAAGATTCTCTCCACTACGTGAGCAAACCAGTTGTGCAAAACGAAGAAACGACCAGTTCCCCCGGGGCAGTTTACAGCTCCGGAGCTGGCCGAAAGCGACAAAGACCTTGGAAAATGCTGGATCAGTCGACGTATTCTGAAGAGAGACCCCAAAAGCGACGCGCGATTGAACGAATTGCGGCAATGAAAGGGGGAATTATTTCGACTGACATTAGAGCTGAGGACAGAGAGACCGAAAGAGATCTTACCAAAGAGTGGGTTGGGAGAAGACAAAGGACATCCATGGGAGGCCATGGCATCACGCAAACCTCTCTTGAAGCTGTGGGGGAGTTAGACCTGAGCACCGGATTTCCTACAAACTCAGAGGTCACTGACGATTCAATTTTCGAACCTATTGGTGAGACTGCCGCACAGTCGGGAGGTAGACTTCCAGGCTATAATAGGTTCACAGCTGAGCAAGACGCTTATATGTTGGCACTCCTGAAGCAAAAACCCACTTGGGCAAAAGTTGCCAAATCAATGACCGACAAATTTGGGTTTCAACGCGCTGCGACAACGGTAAGAAAAAGAGCTAAGCGCCTAGGCCAAATGCCAAGACGAGAGACAAAAAGGTATACCAAGAAAGAAGACTCACTCTTGAAGCACCTGCTAGAGCAGGATACGCCACTGAGCGTCATCGCGTCAGAAATTCAAGCCAAGTTCGGCGTTCAGCGTACTGAGCGAGGTTTGAAAGACAGACAGTCTAAACTAGGATACGTGGGCGGTGACTACAAGCAAAGGCCCTGGACAAAGGAGGAGGATGCTCTGCTTACTCAGGCCTGGAAGGAATCTGTCAAGCCTACAGACGTTTTTTCTCGGTACAAGAGTCCATCCAAAGTTCGTCGATCAAGAGACGCCTTAGATGGTAGACTCCGGCGCCTCGGATTGATCATTCCAAGTGCCATATATAGATGGTCTGAAGAAGAAATTTCGTTCCTACGGCTTCTAAGCTCTTCTGGGATGAGAATTTCGGAGATGGTGGTCAAGTTCCATAGGAGGTTTGGTACTAAACGGAGTGAAAAAAGTCTTTAAGGAAAATTGGCGTTTATGCAATAAAAGAAGTGAGATGGCAATTGTGGTTTTAGTTAAATAAATAAATATTATATTAGAATTTCTTTATCTATACAGCAGTTTTTAGTAACTAATTCTTAAGTTATATATATACAAGCTTAAGGAGTATAAAAGCTAATTAATAAGTATTCTTAATAGGTATTTACTTATTAACTAATCTTAAAGATAATATTACCCTTAGACAAAGAGCTAGAACTTATCCAGAATATCTATTTTAGATACTCTAGGTTTATTATAACCTTAGCAGTTATATTACGTGTAAAATCATACCCTATAAATTTTACCTAATAAAGATACTACAGCCTATATCTATTAATACTTATAAGATCTAATATTAAACTAACTAGAACGGAACTAACTAATATTAGACTAATAGCACTTTAAAACTATATTACTCCAGGACTAACAGTAACCTTACATTATATTACTTTTACTAAGGAACTATAAGTATATATATATATTTATTTAGCATTAAATAGAACCTAGCTTACTAGCTATTAATAATACTTCTTTATATTAATTAAGCCTAATATATATTAATTTACTATTAAGAGATATAATACTTTAATAATACTTAGTATATACTCTATGCAATCTACTAATAATAAACCTAAGCATAGCTTAGTTTAATATAATTAGACCTAACTATTATATATTAATAGCTCTTATTTAGACCGTACTATATAACACTAAGCAATACTTATATAATAACTATACCTATTAACCCTATTTAGTAATAAGCTATTACTAATAATAACCCTATTTCTATTAATACTTATCTACCTATAGATTAGAATATAAATAATAGTAACTCTTTAAATAGCTTTAAAGACTTAGAAGTTAGGAAACTTTATAATTAGCTTATAAGTATTACTAATAACCTTAACGAAATATACTAAACCTTGGTAAAAACTATTACGCTATAGGCAGCTTAAGCTAACGCTAACTAGAATACTAGAATGATATCTAGGAATTTTATAACCTTACTACTACTATAGCTATAGATAGAGATACTAGAGAAATACTTAAGCCTAACCTACTTAAGCTATTTAATAGAACCCCTAGCAAGCTAGCTATATTCCTTACCTAGTATAAAGCCTTTATAATTTATTACCTAACCTAGTTTAGGAAAGATTTAGCTAAGACTATATATATAGCTAGATACCTTAAAGGCATAGTAGTATAATGGTTTTAACTTATTATAGAAGAATATACTACTAAACCTAAAATAGAACTTTAACCCTAAATAT